GGAGAAGTAAATTTTACTATATCTGCGGTTTTTTTATCAACAAGAGATGTCAGCTGAATTTATAAAAGTTTGAGAATGACATGTCAGCAAGCCAACAATGCAAAACCTATTAAGAACAACCTGTATGTCTAAAATACTTAATGCCTTAGGGAAAAATACTAATTTTGATGTAACTTTTTTTATTTAGGTCTAGGCAAGGTATTACAAAGAAAACGGTAAGTGCCTTTAATTTCGAACAACAGCGTGTATCTACCTACTGACCGACATCTGGTGAAAGCAAATTATATAATCGGTTAAGAGCCTGCTGCGTGAAACATGTTTCGTTTTCGATTTTATTTTTGTTAATTAGACGACGCATAATTGTTATGAGGTGCCCCATTTTGCAAGACAATAGAATTTCTCGAGTCTTGATTCAAATTCTGCTATATTCCAATGGTTTACATGTTTTTGTAAGAAGCGTCAAATTATTCCAGGACTTTTTAGTGCCACATTGCCATTTTTGTTTCCTCTTGTCACATGAACGAAACTTTATTACATAATTTGTGGCGCTAAATTCGAATAATCGTGAAGCGTTGTGTCGTGGAGTCGAACTTGATGTAGAAAGTAGCTCGATTCGAACTCCCACCAAATTCTAGAATGCTTTTCAAAAGTATTACTTTCTGTAATTATTATACAATCTATAGAAAATTTAGCGATATTGCTCCAGGACTAGAGCGTTTCTTGCGATCTAATTGATATTTCTCATCATGTGAGGCCACAGCTAGTTACGCAACACTGCGTAGGAATGTGAAAATGAAAAAAAAAATACATAGTTGCATTTGGAAGGCAGATACATGAAACATTATCAATAGTACTGAAGAAGGTTACCGTTGGGACCGAAACGTATACAATAAAGAATTTCAAACATGTGGTTTGATTGGCCAGACAAACATGGGGGATTATCGATATGAAATCCACAGGATAAGTTTCAGATGTTACATAACATCCTGTATATTAAGTATGACCTTATAGGGCAAAATTTCCATTTCCATCTGCCGTTATTACAAACAAATGAAACACAGGTAATTTGGGGAGTTAAATTCGGATATGCAGAAAAAAGTGGAAATGCTACGACGCAGAATTTGAAGTAGAAGATGGGTTATTTCGTCCACACGATTCGCTGTTTGCACCTAATTTTAAGGAAGGACAATCATGATGCGCATATTTCTCTTATAAAATAAAAACGTCTGCTTTTAAGCCATTATTTATTTATGGAACTGAGGATAATTCTAAAAATAAAACACACGAATGCATTACAAAACTTTTAATAAATAAAAAAGTACAAAGCTAATAAAGAAATACACAAAATATATGTATATATTTATATATAAATTCATAATTATACTGAGTGAGCCACTCATTTTGCCGCAATAAGTACCATGTATATTTTTCAAATCTTTGGCATTTTCGCAATACATGCATGTTTACATAATGACATTCAATAATCCACATTTCGAGAGATTTGGTATGGTTTTCCACCGAAATATATTGCCAGCAGTATGCAACCACAAAATAACTGACTTTCTATTTAGCCACACGCCAAAAAACTGACGATAATAGAGAGGAGACTTCCTATCAAATGACGTGATAGAAAGGTTCCGCGACTATCAAGAATCTAAGTCAGTTATTTTTAGACTGCATATGTGAATGCACTTATCTTATTTAGCACATATCTTAGTATCTGTCATATATATTAAAGAGTAGATAAATATACTTTTAGATATGGGTGTTATGTTACAACAAGCTCTCATTTAAGAACTTGGAATGAAAAGTGTAAGGACCCACCGTTTTCAAAAATTGGATGGAATGTCAATTATTTTAAATGCTGTGGCAAAGCACGTGTATAACAATAAAAGCGCAAGTTATTGTGATTATAAATATGCAACGTCATTGATACAGGCTTTAAAGACATCGTCCATAATTGCAATAAATAGGAAGATTCCTCGATTTTTTTTATAGGCTGCCTCTTTTTGAATGTTCTAAGCCAACCTACTTTATATTGCTCAAAAAAGACCATGCAACATAAACTGCATCAACGCAGAGAAATAGATGTATTTTTTGTGTAGATATTTCTGCGATTCATCTGCCCCGGTCTGGTCCAAAAATGCAACCGCAGATGAATATTACCTTTACTGACAATTCGGCTACTACGACAGCCTTTTTCTAAAGGCAAGGTGTCAAAAAATTCAACATAAACTTTGTAATGTTGATAACTAAGTTTATTTTTATATATTTTCTTTCTCTGTGGCATCTACGCTCCCGAACAAAATTGAAGAATCTCTTATGCGATGTCGGTAACATTTGGCGTACTTTGAAAATTATTCAAGTAACGTTTTTCAGTTTTACTCCTTGCCATAAAGTAGGAAAATATGTTCACTATTTACAGCTACATTACAATACTGAAATACTCTTGACCATTGCATATTTCGTCTATTTGATTATCGTTTTCTAAATAACAACTTGTAAAACTATTGACAATATGTGATTGTGTGCGAAGGGATTGTACGATTCTATTGTATTTTATTTGTGCCAGGAATGTTTTATCAACCATCAATACACATTTCCAACAATATTTCCCCTATAATAACAAAACTTAAATGTAACTTAATCTATTAACAATCACCTAACTTTTCATTCGTTGCTCTCAATATAACTGAATATACCCAAAAATTCTCATCTTCAAATACTGACTAGAAAAATTATCACACGAAAAGGAATGAAGGCAAATTATTTTATTGGGTGTAAGTGCATGAAAGTTTCCTCTAAAAACTAATAACGAGCATATACTCTTACAACAGTTCAACTATGCATATAAGCGTAGAGTATAACAATGTAAGGAACTTAAAAGTCAGAAAGATTAAAGTTTTACGATTTTGTGCGAATAAAAGTGCTATGAACTTTATTTAGGATTCAATATGATTAGTTTGGATTCAACTCCTTTGAAATTCAAAATTTAACATATTTATAATTTTGATTTGTCTTGGCACCAAATACACATGTCAATTTTATAATACTGTTCCAACGTTCCTACCAGAGCACGTCGAAAAATATACCTGCATCCTTTAGGAAAGGAAAACCGTGAATTTATATCTCAACATTAACAATGTATTATCACGTATAGATTTTCCACGCGTGCGTCTTATTTCACTTATACTTTTTTAAGGAACTGTAACATGTAGACTTGAAGTATGAAATATAAAGCACGTCTTCAAAAACAAATACATCCTAGAACATGAATAATTATTTTCCCAGCTGCAGCTTAGGCTGCAACTAGAATATTTTGACTTCATAGTCCAGTCGGTAAAACTTTTGGCATGGCTTTAATGAATCAAATAGATTTTGAAGTCTCACTAATACTGATCAAGCACTAAGCGAGCACAGAAACCACTCCAAGAATTTTGCATTCCTTCTCTTCCCCGCAATGACCGTGCACCTTAAAACTGCTACCAGATAAAAATGTTTGTCTCTAGTGCCTCGTCTTAACTAACTACTTTTAAAATGCACATATTCTGATGTCCGAATTTGAGTACTCCATAGTGTCAGAGACACTATGGAGTGGCAATGTACCATAACCATGTACCATTTGTTTTTCATTGAAATTAAATAAAAATTAATGAAAGCACTTAAAAAGTTTGTGGTGCGTGTTAAACTAAGTAATTTGCGTACTTGAACAAAAAATGAATGTGATAATACGTATCAGATTTGCATCCTTAGTGAAACTGTATTATTACAAGTTACCGTCACGTAAGCCTATTACAAATCAGCACTAAAGCAAATAAAAAATGGGTTGTGATTTTTGCACACAATATAGTAAAAATAAAATATATGTATTCATAAATATCATACTAGGTTATGTTGCTTTCTCTTTCCTCTTAACAGCGGCTATTCATTTATTTGTTTGCTCTATTTTCCATATGGCTTTATGAATCGTATAAAATTGGTTTCGTAGCTTAAAACGCAACATGTATTGTGATCCATGTCGAGAAACTGCTCGTCTTTACATAAAGGTATTCAAAAAATTTAATGCGGAGTGGTATAAAATATAGCAATATGATACTGTGAATCCCGAGTTATTTCACATTTCTAACACATCGCGCTGTGCGATCGACTTGGTGGTCCCCACAATCCATTTCGTACATAGCGAATACTTCTGTCCCTACGCAGGTCTATCGATTTTAGTCCTATCCTACCGAACCATCGTTTTTAATGCGAAATCTAGCCAAAACGTTTCTCAAACTCTTAAATCATATATTTCTGATATAATTCAATTAAATAATCCCCCTGCTTCTCAACTTTCGATACGACCTTCTGATTTTAAAATAGGAGTATTTCAGAATTTGATGTCCCCCCTTCATCCTTCAATTTTCAAAGCTGAGTGGAGTTCAAGCACGGTGACACTCTTCAATTTTCAGTCATCGGCAAGTCTGCTTTAATGTCTACCGAAATCTACTGAAAAATTTCGCACAAATCTATCGGAAACAGATCGACAACACCTGACAACACTGTCACTGTGTAAGCCTCACCGTCTGGTTGTGACGGCGTGGAACAGCACCTCATGGTGGTCACGTATTACATAGCTTTTTTTAACCCTGCAGCACTCCCGCAATGAGAATTTTTCTCACGGCTTCCACTAATCTGCAGATTCTATGAACACTTAGGCCCGTATCGTCAGACGTCCCTACAATTGTAGGGCGCGTTTATGGCCTCCTTCAAAAATTTCTAGATTACACTTGTCCCGTGTCAGCGTCAGCGCTCTCCTATTGTGAAGATATGTTTTCTTTTTAAATTGTATGAAATTTCAGGCTGATAAAACATGATATAACTCAAAAGCAAGCACAATTTGATGCAAATAGATGTTTGTGACATAACCTCAAAATAGAGTTCTGACACGGAGAAGTAGAAAACTATGACAATCAAGGAGGCCATAAAGGCGCCCTACAATTGTAGGGCGCGTTTATGGCCTCCTTGATCGTAATACTCCTTTCTCTCCTTCAAAAATTTCTAGATTACACTTGTCCCGTGTCAGCGCTCTCCTATTGGGAAGATATGTATTCTTTTTAAATTGTAGGATATTTCAGGCTGATAAAACATGATATAACTCAAAAGCAAGCACAATTTGATGCAAATAGATGTTTGTGACATAACCTCAAAATAGAGTTCTGACACGGAGTAGAGTAGAAAACTATGACAATCAAGGAGGCCATAAAGGCGCCCTACAATTGTAGGGCGCGTTTATGGCCTCCTTGATTGTCATACTTCTTTCTCTCCTTCAAAAATTTCTAGACTACACTTGTCCCGTGTCCGCGTCAGCGCTCTCCTATTGTGAATATTTGTTTTCCTTTTAAATTGTAGGAAATTTCAGGCTGATAAAACATGATATAACAAAACCAAGCACAATTTGATGCAAATTGATGTTTGTGACATAACCTCAAAATAGAGCGCTGACACGGAGATGTAGAAAACTATGACAATCAAGGAGGCCATAAAGGTGCCCTACAATTGTAGGGCGCGTTTATGGCCTCCTTGATCGTAATACTCCTTTCTCTCCTTCAAAAATTTCTAGATTACACTTGTCCCGTGTCAGCGCTCTCCTATTGGGAAGATATGTATTCTTTTTAAATTGTAGGATATTTCAGGCTGATAAAACATGATATAACTCAAAAGCAAGCACAATTTGATGCAAATAGATGTTTGTGACATAACCTCAAAATAGAGTTCTGACACGGAGTAGAGTAGAAAACTATGACAATCAAGGAGGCCATAAAGGCGCCCTACAATTGTAGGGCGCGTTTATGGCCTCCTTGATTGTCATACTTCTTTCTCTCCTTCAAAAATTTCTAGACTACACTTGTCCCGTGTCCGCGTCAGCGCTCTCCTATTGTGAATATTTGTTTTCCTTTTAAATTGTAGGAAATTTCAGGCTGATAAAACATGATATAACAAAACCAAGCACAATTTGATGCAAATTGATGTTTGTGACATAACCTCAAAATAGAGCGCTGACACGGAGATGTAGAAAACTATGACAATCAAGGAGGCCATAAAGGCGCCCTACAATTGTAGGGACGATTGACGATACGGGCCTAAGTCACGCTGACTTTATAAGGTTCCTCTTCGATGTGATTATGAATAGGCAAACTTTAGTGCTCAATGCTATTAGCGAGTGAAAAGTTTATTGTTTTTTCGTAATAAAAAGGTTTATTATTTTTGTATGTGTTAATATTATTTTAGAGAGTAAGCGATGAGTAGAGGACGGATACTTGAAGAACTAGGGAGAGCTTGATATGAAAAGCCTCAGAGAGAACAAGAATGGCAAAATCAGGAACCTTTGGAAAATGATAAACGAATTGATATTGAAAGTGATGCTTCCAGTGAACGTAGCTTACATGATACAGATACCGAACAATCTGATGAAGAACCTGATGATTTTGAATCTGAAGGTGATGAGAATCCTGTGTATACTTCAAGAGACAACTTTACTGGAAAAGACAAAAAACTCATGGTCGATGTAGGAACGCCCTTGAAGAATATCGTTAGTCATCTACTAGCACACTACCTTCATGTATCAAACGTGTTCTGTCGTGTATGACAATAATGATACATCAGAAGATTAGGTTTTTTGTCACTATAGGAATTATATTACTCATCTTAAACATAGAATTTGTTCAAATATGTTTTAGGAATTAAATAATCAAGATTTTTTTATCTCGCTCACGGCATTTCAAGTTTGACTTTATTTAGTAAAAAGTTGTATGTTTTTTTAGTTTTTAGAACAATAAATCAATAAAAATTACTAATATTTTGCTTTATTTATAAAAATTAGAAGAAAAATAATTATATTGAACAGAATCTTGAAGATAGGGACATGTGAGAGAAATTCTCACGCGCAAGTGGTGCGCGATTTTTTAAGGCGCGAGTGGTGCGCGATTTTTTAAGGCGCGAGTGGTGCGCGATTTTTTAAGGCGCGAGTGCTGCAGGGTTAAACAGGGTTCATTTTTAAAATCTTATCGATATATTAGGGCCATTCCAGGCACTTGGAGCGAATATACTATGAATAAAGCTAGTATGCTGTTGAAGCTTCCATCTATTCTCTAGCTGTACGAGATCAGTGCAAATGTGTTTATTGAGCAGTCCAAGAGATTTTGTCGCAACATACTCCCTCGAAATCACACAGCCCAAAGTGCTAAATAGTTTAACTAGCTTCTTTTATTTTAATAATTTCGATCCCTTTACCATATACGAACACATCATACCCGTGATTTTCTCGACATTTCAACCCTTGAGGGTCCGTTACCGAAGTTATATACTTCGCTGCTCTTTGACAACTCAACTTGTCATTTTTCACCCTCCAAGTGAATATCAACAATTTTTGATCCACCGAGGTGGTCAAAAAATGCTTGAAAGTAAGATGAGCTCCTGTTATTTGGGCACAATGCGAGCTAATATCTATAACCTGATCGACAGTTTCCATCTCTAGGCCCACGTCTGTTTCTTTTATTCTAATATAGTTAAGGACGATCGCGTTGTCATCCCCGCCAGTTAGGAACACCAAGTGATTATCTAGGAGCAAATACGAATAGCTATTTATACCTGACTGGTGACAGGTGATATAAAAAAAAGGTATCAACTCTGCCATTGGATCGCTGATGTCCCAAAAGACTACGTTACCATCCGTTGCCATGGTAACCAACAATGTATAACCGAAAACCTTTATTGTAGATAGTTTAATGACGCATTTCAGCTTGTAAAATACATTTCTCGAAAACATCAAGCGGTATGATCCGCTTCTGGGTTCGACAAAAAATAACTGGATGTTACCGTCGGAGCATGCACAAAACAAGGTGATCTTTTCGTTGATTTTTGTTGCGTTCAAATCCATGATTCTCATTTCAGATTCTTCGTTTTCGGTGGGTTTATGATAGGAATGCTGCTCGCTACACATAACCTAAAAAACAAATTGTTTGTTAGACAGATAAATTAATCCACTGTGCTAGTCATCACGCTTATATTGACCGGCCAGCGAGAAAATGCAAGGCAAAGGGATGCTGTCGAGAAATAGCGATATTGTCATATGACTGGAATTTGGAATAGAAACTAATAATATACAATTTCGGATAATTTTTTATTTTAATAGATGTAAGCCGACTTTCATAGTCTCTTCGTTCTTTCAGAAAGGCTGAGGTATTTCTAGATTTCTACTATTCCGTGTTAGCGTCAGCGCTCTCCTATTATGAAGTTATGTTTTCTTTTTCAAGTGTAGGAAATTTCAGGCTGATAAAACAGGTCATATAAATCAAAAGCATGAACAATTTAAAGCAAATAGATATTTGTGACATAACCTCAAAATAGACCGCTGACACGGAACAGTAGAAAACTATGAAAATCAATAAGGCCATAAGGCGTCCTACAATAGTAGAAACGACTGATGATACGACCCCAAAGTCATCAACAAACTGAAAGTCTCGAAAGAGGTTTCAAGCAGTCTTATATGACTGTACAATACGGTAAATGGTAGATGGATGGTTAATGCTGATCCAAGGGCTGTCAGTGGTAGAGATTGGCAGTTCGGTATGACAAAAAAGCATTAATTGAATTGATATACATGTTTCGATACTGTCAAATGTCAATACAAAAATACGAGCCGTGAACAAAGAAATCTGGCAACGTAGGTGGTGGTGTTACTCCCGCCGCTGCTTGCTGCATCGACGCAACTCGTGCTCAAAACGCTGAGAAAACATAACCTTTTCAATTTGTGATTTGGGAATCCAAGAGGCTGTAATTAAGAGATAAGCTTGTTTTCTAAGCTTCAAAGTGTGTGTATGTGTTCAAACTGATCGGTGACTATAATATATGAGAAATAGACTCCAGTTGTAGTGCTTCTGTGCTTTAAAAATAAACTAAGAAGTGTGACTGTGGCTGTTCGCGCATCAGGACGCTAAGGATTTCAACTATTGAAAACGTGCAAATTCAGGTTGTATTTTTCTTTTTTCATTTATCAAGTATTTGACGCAGACAATATGCCTCGTTGTTGCTGTGTTCCTTTATGCAATGCAAACTATAATTCTGCTTTGAAAACAGAAAGCTATGTTTCAACTTTTCGCTTCCCAAGTACCGAAAGTCTGAAAAACAAATGGCTTATGGCAATTCCCAGAAAAAATTGGACACCTTCAAAATATTCAGCTGTGTGCAGTCGTCATTTTAGAGAATCGGATATCATCAGGACAGAAAATATAGTTTTGGCGGATGGAACAGTCCAAAATAATATACCTTTGAAATATCCAAAATTGAAAGAAAATGCTGTTCCCTCCATTTTCCCAAACTTGCCATCATATCTTTCAAAAACTGAAGCACCCAAAAGAACTGACCCAATGCAAAGAAAACAAAAATCAATTGATAAACATGAAAAAGCTATCCAGAATTTCGATGATATGGATAAGATCAAAGACTTTCAAGAATTACACTCTTCATTTTAAAAAATTAAAGCCTCACACAAATGGAATAATAAATTATCTGATGGAAAGCTATATTTTTATAAATTGGATTTTGAAAATGATATCTTAACTTTGAATACACAGATTATAGTTGATGGTCAGATGGAAGTTCAGGTTGTTCATAAAGGATGTAAGCTTTCTTTTAGTGACTTGAAGTGGGTTTTGCCATATGATCTCAAAATTACCAGATGGTCCCAATTAGAAAACCTGCTAAATAGGTATTTTTTCTATTTTTCTGAGAACCAACACAAAAACTCTGTTGAAGTTTGCATCATGAATGCATTGGAACAACTTGACACAGCGATTTCCATAATTAATAATGAGTCAGTTATGTTTCCATATACAAAAAATCTAGAGATTATTGCTGATCAGCTGAGACAAATTCAAAACAGGAAAAACAGATATGCATCACTTTCAATAATAATGGCTTTTACGTTTTATAACCACTCATCATCAACATATAATTTAATTAAAAGATTTTTTATTTTGCCAAGTAAGCGATACTTACAACATATCTCCACAAGTATGGATATATCTCCAAAAAATGATAGGAATAATGAACACTACCTTTCGAATATAGCAATTAAATTAGCTCCAAGAGAAAAAATTGTAATTTTGATGATAGATGAAATTTATATAACATCTAGGCTGGACTATCGCTCACAAAACATTGTTGGGTATGCCTCAAATAAAAATGACATGGCTAAAACTGTTTTAGCCTTCATGCTATCTTCATCATTTGGAAACATAACAGAAATTATCAAATTACTACCAGTTTCAAATCTAACAGGTGATGAAATGACACCTTTGGTTGAACATGTGATAAATTTAGTTCAAAAATGTGGATTTGAAGTTATTTGTGTTGTTACTGATAATCACCGAATTAATAGAGCAATGTTCAGGAAATTAGCAAAGGATTCATCAGAAAATTATTCTATTCCAAATCCACATAATCCTGATAAGTACATATATTTAACTTATGATGTTGTGCATATTTTCAAGAGATTCAGAAATAATTGGATTAATTTAAAAAACCTAGACAAAACTTTTGTATATCCTAATTTTGACAATAATGATATTATTCAGTATGCTAAATTTGAAAACATTCGTGCTGTATATCAATTGGAAAAAGAAGCTGCAGTTAAGAAAGCATATAAATTAAATTATAAAACATTGCATCCAAATTCATTTGAAAGGCAAAATGTAAATTTTGTAGATAATTTATTCCATCACTCAACAATAGCTGCTATGAAAGAATTAAAGTTTAATGATGCTGCAGACTTTTTGGAAATAATCAGGAATTGGTGGGATATTGTCAGTAATACAAGTGTAATAAAAGGAGAATTGAAGCGAAACGAATTTTGTAAGCCTATTACCAATAAATATGATTATAGAGTACAATTTTTAAAAAAATTCCTGATATGGTTAGAAAAATGGCATAATCTAGATAATAATAATGGACACCTGACACCAGAAACGTATACAGCTCTATATCAAAGCACGCTGACTCTACTTAATATAATTGAATATTCATTCAATCAATTTGACATTGAGTATGTATTGCCTGGAAAATTCACCACTGATAATTTAGAAAAACGATTTGGCAATTATAGACTTTTATGTGGCTGCAATTACAATGTGTCATATGATGAAATTTTAAATGCTGAAACGAAAATACGGCTGAAGCATATTTTCAATGAAAAGAAATCGTCACTTTCTTTAGCAGAAATTAAAACAAGGTTCCAAAACTGCTTAGAAACTCAAAAAAATTTTGATTTCTTGGGTACCAAACAAAATCCTGAAGTTTTGGATATATTCAATGAAGTATTTGAGACACATTACTTAGCCAATTGTGACATAGAGGATAGTACTAAGACTTATATATCTGGATATGCTTCACACGCTATCTCTAAAAACCTAAACTGCGAGATATGCAAATCGCTAATAGTTAAAGAAAAAGGTTCATTAACAACAAATGTTTATTTTGATCATTTGCAAAGAGAAGGACTGTCAATTCCAACCAGTTATGTACCAATCATATTCTACCATATGTATGCCATTTTTGAATCTATTATTAATGTAGATAGATTGGAAATTTTCTTCTTGAAAAGCAATAATCAAAAATTTATTTTGTGTCAGTTAACCTTGCTCAGCATTCAGTCTGACTTTATATACAGTGAATTTTCTTTAACTTGCATCTGTGGCCGCAATTATGCAGATATTTTATCTAAGATTTTGTCTATTTTTTCAAACATAATTTTGAATGATTATGTAAAATTGAAAAATAACAGTAAAACTGAAAGTAAATGTATTAAAAACAAACAGGTAACTCCACATTTCCAAGCTGGGCCTGTTGGAACACAGTGTGCTGACACCAAGAAACGTAAACTAAATACTTTTAATTAGGTTAACTGCATTAGCGACTCATATATATATATCACGATTATTTCGTATTTTTAAATTTTTTAGAGCTATTTCATATTCAGACGATTTGTATCGAATCGAACTGTCCTCTTTTCCAAAATTAAATTTAGTTCTTGAACGTTACACGGAGACGGAGCACACAGCCGCTGGCGGCCGACGTTCACAGGTAGCACTACCATGCCGTCCGAGCGCGGTGTTGCCTTTCTTTCATCACGGCTCGTAGTTGACGTCGGCTGTGATTTTATCTACGTGAACACATCGGTGCACTGTTTCTATCGTACATATTGCTCGCATCTCGCACTTCTCTCTCGTACACATTACCTCGTCAGCTTTATGTGTATTTGTGAATAATTCAGATGATAATAATTTGCATTAGTGAAATATTTAAGTAGTTTCTTACATTTTCACGGTTTTAAATATTTAAGTTTAATTGAATTATGAAATTCTAATTTGTTTGATTTGGAAGTTCGGCATCTGCAAAGTAGATTCTAGCACTGCACGCCAATCTTGTCCTTTTGATATGCCTGTAACATGTATTGATTACAACAATACAATATTTCCACCTCTAGTCTCTACTCAGTGGGCTGTAGTAAATACCTCATAGGAGCAAATCATGATCAAGGATCTAAAAGCGACCACAGTTTTTCAAAAGATATGCACACATCTACTAGTTTCTGTTACACTTTTCCTCTCTTGCATTCTTTCGGTAGGCAGTAGATATAACCATGCCCATACCTTCTTAAACGTTCCATTTTCGGTAAAAGTCTCCAGTTTCCAGCATATCACCTGTGCTCTACCGCCAGCGGTAAACACAAGATGTGTATTCGCATCCAATCTGTAGGTCGTAATGGCCCTAATGCTTGACAGATGCGACTTCAACGTTATAATATTTTTTGATGCATACTTCTTGAACATGTTTATCCGCAATACAGTGTCTTCTCCACCAGATATCAAAATATATTTGTTTAGACATTTCACCACTTCTATCGCGTTGATCTCTTTTACGTGATAGCCTTCGATGATGTCCACAGGAAGTATGCTTTCCAAGTTGACCTTGAAAGAAAATCGCGAACTTCAGTTGCTTTTTACTCAAGAATATTCGATACCGGATAAACTTAAGTTGACCTATTCTTTTTTGAAAGGCTATATACAGGGTGTTCTGAATGTTGGGACGACCTCTTTAGAAGTATTGATTAGCTTATTCAATCAAGAAAAACAAACCTAGACGGCTCGGTATGGAAACATCCAGGGAAACGATCTGAATGGCACGAAGCATCGGAAACATCTTGAAGACACTCGCTGTAAACTAATATCAAATTGATAACTTCATTACTGCTACAGGAATGTAGCAGTTTCGGTTTTTTCAAATCCGACTTGTAACCAAACGCTCGGTTAACGCTAGTTGCAGGATCGGGCTAAGATTTTTTTCGGGTCATAATAACTCGGTTACCTTAAAGATTTGGCGTATGAGTTGCTACAATAATTTGTCTACCTTTACATGAACTGTGTAAATACAAGTCCCAACTTCAAGAGCGCCCTATAATATTGAGGAATTCTTCAAAATCAACTCACTGTTATGATGTCAATAATTTTATCCTTAACATAGACGAAGCTCATATCTTCTTTAGTTTTCATGAAACACCAAGATCTATGTCCGCCTCCACAATCTTTTTCAAACAAAATTCTCTTGGTGTTCCGGTTCCATACAATAAAATTGTTGCTCGAAAACGCAATCAAAAGGTTTTCCCGTATATCTAACAACCAAGTGACAGGAAGTTTATCTGATGATACCATGCGTAAGTAGTCTCCTTTAAACTGAAATCAAAACATTGTTATTTTGAATCATTTCAAACCGTGATTTCCAATAGTGACAGTTACATCATCTAACACTGAGTTAAAGTCCGGAATTCAAACAGCAAATATATAACTACCTTAGATAAGGTGGTTTATAAACCTTATTCACCTGAAATGTCTTGATCACAGAATCCCTTCCTAAGGAAATTATTCTATCCTCCTCAACAACTAGTTTTGTAACACCCAAATGATTGTGTACTTTGTTCACTGTTTGGATAGGATCTTCCTTTCCAATTTCATATAAATGTATGCTTCCTGCAAAATATGCCAAGTATTTGTTTGTTTATATTTCCGACAGGTTAATTTTTTTACCTTTTCTGTCGCCCACAACAACGTAGTTTTTGTAAAATATGGCACAAGTGGTCCACCGCTCATTGCTAGATGGTAGATTGAACTTGGCAACAGCATGTATAGTGTCTTCCTTAAGGTAAAAGAGTGTAAGTTTGCCGTCATTTTGGCATATGAGGAAATTTTTGCAAGTCAACCAGTGGAACGAGAATATACGTGTTTTGTTTTTGGTGCGAAAGGCGCAGATTTGGTGTAAGGCATCGTTGCGTTCTCTGTAGATGTTTATTTGACCTTCGAACCCTGGAAACAGAAGAAATTCTGGAGTGTGACTACAAAATAGTTCTAGATATTCTATTCATCTATTACAAAAACAAGTGTTTGGTGGTTAAGCTATCTTACCTGCCAAAGCTAGTAAGTTTTTACACCTGGCCACATCCATCAGGACGTAACTTTTCAGATCTACATGCTCCTTGATTCTCAGACACTCTTGCTTCTTACGATTATAATAATACAAAATACCATTATCTGTGAAAACTACAAGGTTTCCACTTGTAAGAATAGCAACTAGCTTTGGCTTGTCACCATGATTTACATTCAATTTTTCTTCAGTGTATTTGTAGTGAATTGGAAATACGGTAACAGCACCATCACCACCACCTAGAAATAAAATCGAATACTAGTTCAACATGTCTTATTGAAGAAATCCAGTGAAATTTCATTGTCTGACTGATTTCATCGTTTTCCTCTATACACTGATGATGCTGATTATGGACACAGGCAATGTCCATCATCTATCATAACAAAGGGATTTCCATTAAGGACTTGACAAGTTTCTTTTTAAATAAAACACAAACCATTTGAGATATCTCGAAAATTTTATTATTGGACTTGAAGTATACTCAAAATATTTGAGTACGAAATTCGAGCTCGTCCATATGTCCACCACGGGCTCGTTCGCAGCGATCGATTCGTTGAACCCAATTTTCAATGACTCGGCCACACATTTCGACAGAAACAGCCGCTATCTCTTGTTCAATATTGGCTCTGACCTCCTGTAACGATGCCGGCTTGTTGGCATAGACCAATGATTTAATTTAGCCCCACAAAAAAAGGCCTAGAGGTGTTAAATCATCCGATCTAGGCGGCCATTCGACAGACCATTTCTCGATATAACTCGTTCACCGAGTTTTGATTTCAATATGATTCTTGCACCCGCTGTGTGGCTTTTGGTACCGTCTTGTTGAAACCACATATCATTAATTTTTAGCCTATCCAATTGACCAAAAAGATAACGTTGCAACAAGTCTCTGTAGCGATCTCCGTTGACTCTAAAGTGACGTTCATTTTCATCTAGGACAAATAACGGCCCAATGGCACCACCGACATGAAAACCACACTAAACAGTTATTTTTGTGGATGTAGTGGTGTTTCTTGAAGCTCATGAGGATTTTCACCTGACCAATAACACATATTTTGTTTGTTGACGAAGCCCTTTAGCAAAAAATGCGTCTCATCACTGAAGATCTAGATTCTAGAGCGCAATTCGAGAACGTACGTTGGTTCATGTGATCAAACGGATTTAGTTCTTGAGTTGACTTGATCTTATAAGGGTGCAGGCCTAGATCGCTTCGCCAATTCGCTATAGTGTGGTCTGAACGATGCCCAATTCTCGAGAACGCAGTGGAATCGACGTGTTCTGTTCGTTTGCGATGGAAGCTTGAACGGTAGCAATATTCTCGGCACTTCGACCAACCCGTTGTCTCACTGGCACGGGAACATCCAACCGCGAATATGTGGACTCCAATTAGTTTACTAGACTATGAATTGCTTGTCTACTGGGACAAGAATTACTACCATAAATTGGCGTTACCGCTCTTAAAGTTGCAGTCACCGGTTCGGAATTTCGGTAGTAAATTTTGATTATTTGTAAGGGTTGTTCGTTCCTGTACTACCATGATGAAAATACTTTCTTTACTGAATGTTTTGACATTGCCAGTTCGGTAATTGATTTAAAGGTGCGTTCACAGTGAAAGTTCAAAGTTGTCAAGTCCCCATTGGAAAATCCGATATAAGTGTCAGCATATCATAGAATAAGTGTATGAAATACAACAGTTGAGTGTTTTCAAAGAATTCGGTGTATCAATTTTTAGATAATGATGAACAGCCATGACTTTTTCTGAATTTTTTCGCAAGTGTCAGTTGGTAATGTGATTACTATTAGACAGAAGTGGGATCTAACCTGTTAAGACACAGTTGCTCTCTTCTTCACACTCAATTGCCCATATAGGGTCAGACTGCTGTGCTTCCAGTTTTCGAAGTAATTTCCCTCCAAAAGACCAAACATTCAACATTGAATCTTCACCAGCAGTTATGAAGCATGTGTTCAGTACCTGACATCTAAATATTCTTGAAGTATGACCAAATACCTAGTTAAGGAATTACAAACCTATTATCAAAAATGATTTGGTTCTAAATACCCCAAGAGCTTAAAGACACCTTGTTAATCCAATATTTGGTTCTGGTTTGAACAACAATGGAATGCTTCCAGGTTACCATTGACAGAGGTCATGGTATAATAGTATGTCTGAATAAATTCTTACAAATATAATACAGGAAAAGGTGAACTGATGTGATTGTTGGAAAAATGTTATATGCAATTACAGTGGATTTTCCTAAATATATGCTGTACCAACCTGGCATTTCTTTGTTACTTTCATATCACCAACACTTTCTACTGAGCTACTTTTCTCAATTTTCCACAAAATGGCAGATCTGTCATCAGATGAAGAGCAAATGTAGTCATTTGATTCATTGTAGTGGACACAGAAAATCACACCCTTTAAAAAAATAACAGAGGCAGATAGATGACCATTTCTTTTAAACTCAAGCAAAAACACGGGAAGAAACTAAATATTGAAGTCCTGTCATGAGAAATATGCATTATTAACCATACCTTGTGACCTTTCAACCTGCTGAGAACCACTGACTCATCACTAGTATTACTACTTGGCTTCCAAAGCAATACTTCACTAAATACTGTTCCAGCAATAATAAGCAGATCATTGAAGGTACTGAAACAAACTCGAGCACTATACAAGATACATTTTTCTTCACATTCAACCTCTCTTTCTATATCTAGATTTGGGCTCCATATATGGAGCTTGTTATGCATTGTTACTGTTGCTACTTTTTGACTGTCTTCAACCCATTTTGCATCTAAAAGTTATATATGTAGCTCAGTTACTATGAAGAATATAAATGGTTTTATTGCAATTTAATATATATGGCCATGCCATAAAAGCTGAAATTCCTATTGCATCAAAACTAGAATAATGGCCACAGTGCTCTATAATGAGATGGATCCATGCCAACTGAAAATTTATGTATATAGATACCAGATATAAGCACACTGTTATCAAATGCAGAGTGCTGTGGATTAAACAGTGTCCTACATAGGCTCAAGAATCTTTTGAATCTATTGGCAGTCTTCCAAGAATTTACATTAGCTAGAAATGTAAAGTAGCAATTTATCAAGTCAAGAAGGGCCATTCATAAAGAAATACTCTACGAATGGTAAGCAAATTCAAATGAAATCAATATGTGAGATGGATTGGCGAAAGTTGGGAATTTGCAAGATGAACATATTATAGATTATTGTCATAGGTACCTAAAATCCAGTCACTATGGACTTTTGATGCTTGATCAGAGACTGCAGTCAGTTCTGCATTGGGCTTATAGATCTTTATAAATCTGCCTCCCCAGATGAGAAATGATCCTGAGGCACTGGGTAGTATCCCATAAATTTTTTCACCTTCAAATATCATTGCTTTACAAAGCAGCTCGGAGGTCTTCTTCTGAAAGATATGCAGATAGCCACCAACCCCTAAAATTGATTCAAATATGTCTTGAACGTTTAACTATGAAATTCGAGTACTTACCAACCAACGTATAGTTTCCATGAATTTTGATAGCGGTAACATTTGTTTTAATAAAATGAGAATGAAATAAAAACATTTTGATCGATAAATTGTAAGAGGTTCAAACTGGTTCCAATTTCAAATGCATACACAGGCGAGCACACTTACATGACACATGTTGACATGAATGTAACCAATAAGTTAATTTCATAGCCATCTAGTGACAAGATCCCCTACTACAGTCTGCTGTTTCTGTGCCTTCTTCTAAGTTGGCTAAATGTGTCTAGATGTCAGCAGTTACTATAATTTGCTTGGCATCTAGTGATCGAACCGCGAACTACAACTTACACAAAGGAAAAACTAACTTATTGATCTTTTCCTATATCTATGGTTTACCGTAAGTTCGAAGAATTGAGCCTAGACGTCACTAGCTTCCGTAAAATATGACAAAGGCGTACCTACATAAACTTTACAGGAGGGATCTGCACATAGGGTTCCCTGAAAGAATAATTCTTTAGTGCGTCTCAGAAATCGAGTTAGCTAATGATGCGATCTCATAATACAAATATAATTCCTAGATGGATATTACCAAGATCTACTGTGATAATGACCTGGTTTAGAAACTGAAATATTTCAGCGTCTGTCGAACTGCGAGCAGCTATCCAGTTCTGTGCAATGGCCGCGTAGCTTTTGCAATACAGGAGCAAAAGAAGACGTTCGCATTGACCAATGGAATAAGATGTAAGGTTGGATTTAGGGCACCCCCCTTGACGTCCAAGTCTGTCAGTTTTGTCAAAAAAGTGGTTGGTATAGGTAGAGGAAGTTCGGTGAATATGGAATAGTTTGGGTAATATGGGATAGCGTTTATTTATTCTACTAGCACATCTCGATTATGATTCGCCTATTGAACACGTGCCGCCACCTGTTGTTACCCGCGCTTACTCGGTCAATCAGATCTACCGTCGACGAGCGGCCATTAGCAAAAGTTTGTTCGGCGAGCTTGCGGAGTTTCGGTAACGCTGCAAATTTGTTCCCATAGTTTTGAAGCTTTACGAGGAAATTTATTTTGGCGATCAGGTACGTAGACTATAGACCAGTGGCGGCTCGTGCCAATTCAGTGAGGTAGTGCCAGAATGGAAGCCATAATTTTGAATCGATTCAAAATTGTAAAGAATAACTTATAACTTACCCCTGATAGTTAGTGGTCAAAGTTCTTGAGGTTCAATAAATCTATATGTCCAAAAAAAAATCAAAAATAAAACTATTTACACACGCGCACCAAATTATAAAACAAGTGTGGAGAAGTACCTATAACTTCAAAGTTTTCTATACATGAAGTCCATTCTTCTTTCTTTTTTGGTAGCAAAGTTTTCGATTACCTTATTATTAAAATTTTCAATGCCACTAACAAAATGTTTTTCTGCAGACAGCATTCCTAAAGCACTAAGCCTTTCTTCCTTCATTGTGTTTCTGAGGAAAGTTTTAATCCGTTTCAGCATTGAAAAAGAGCGTTCTGCTTCAGATGTTGACATCGGTATAGTGATTAAAATACTTAAGAGCTTAAGAGTTTCTTGAAACGTACAATTTAATCCTTCCTCGTTCAATAAAATGGATAGTGGAACAGCTCCAGAAGTAGTACTCAATTCTTCTCTCTGATATAATACTTGTAACTCAGTTTTAAGCCTGTTTTTGTCTAAAAATGAAAATTGTGTGCATGTGTCATTTAAATGTGCTTCAGGAAACTGATGTTTATAAACAGAAAACTTTTCAGACACAAATAAATTAGAAGCAACTAAATGCCCAGAAAAGTTAAATCTTGTTCTTATTTGCGATAATACTGCATCGCATATTTCTAACGCTTCCCGTTTTTTGCTGCCTTCTTCAACTTGCCTTTTTTTTCTTGCCGGTTCATCAGTTTCTCTCTGCACTCGTTCAATCTCGTCAATAATGCTATCCATTTGTTCTCGTATAGTTTGAATTGCTGCTTCAAAATTCTCTAAATCATTTTTGACCTTAACAGAATCGGTGCATACTTTTTGTAATTGGTTAAAGACAATTTCAACATGTGGCATTATTTTATGGAATATACTTAGCCAAAATACAAAATTTGTATCTTGCAGCTTTAATTTGTACCCACCGGCTTGATTAATCGACGAAGAATCGCGTGAAGTACTTTCTATATTGTCCATAACTTCAATCAGGTCTTTCCTATTTTCATAAACTGTATGAACACCTCGTGACTGAAAATTCCAACGTGTTTGGGAAGATCTTGGCAATCTGCGATTAACTATTTCATCCAAAATTTTTGTTCTTTGAGGAGACGTCGAAAAAAAAGAGCACAATCCAGATAAATTATGGAAAAATATTCTAGCCTGCTTATTGACAGAGCATGCGCTTGTCATAATTAGATATAACTGGTGTGCATAGCAATGAACATAATTTGCAAGTGGATAAGTTTCCTTAATAATCTTTTGAACGCCATTCAATTCACCACTCATAACAGACGCACCATCATAGCTTTGAGCTATTAATTTGTTTGGATTTTGATCTATTAATGGATTTACAACATTTAAAACGCATGCAGCGATTGATTTGGCATCGTGTCCGTCGGGGACGTAAAATCTCCAAAATCTCTCAACTGGTTGTCCTTTACACAAATATCTGAAAATAATAACTAACTGAAATTCACAGGCTACGTCAGTCGTTTCATCGGCAATTACTGCAACAAAAGGAGAATTTGCAATCTCCTTCTTAACTTCTTCATGATAAACATCTAGCATGCACTCAAGAAGCTCGTTTTGAGTTGTTTTTGAGGTACCCTTGAAAAGTTTGGCACTTTGAATATGGACTTTCAATTCGTTGTCTAATTCGGCGCTAAAATTCACCAGCTCCTTAAATATGCCTCTGTTTTCCGAATTTTCCTTTTCATCGTGACCCCTTAAGGCTAACTCAAATGCTCCACAAAACCTTATACAATTAATAATTTTATTCAATACATATCGATTCTTATCCACTTGATTATTATGTTTAATTAGATCATTGCGATAAGCCGAATTGAGTTGAGTCCTTATATTTAATTTACCAAGAATAGAAAAGCTAAAAACATTATTCATATGGACTTTAGATTTTTCGTGGGTCTTCATTTTATCCCATATATGTATAAGATCATCTGTACCTTTTTTTGACCAAGTCTCGTCACCTCCAAATAGAACACATACAAAACAAAATAGTTTATTCGTTTCTTCACAACCACATATCCAGCTGTTTTTATCGTACACATTTTTATTAAATTTGCGACAGCGCGATTTTTGTCCGCTACCACTTTGTTTCTCAATTTTTAAATCGGGTATTGGCCGTCCTAATTCTTTAATTTGCAGTTTTTGATCCAGCGAAAAACCACTAAATGAGTTTTTTAATATCCCGATTTTATTCATTTTCACTAGTTTTAATAAAACAGTAAAAAATATGATCACAAAACAGAGCAGTTCATTAACACTAGACGTACTAAAACAAAAACGTTATTTCTCACTTTTCAGGTAAAAAAAGACCGAAATCAGCACTAGACGTAATCATAACGAAACGACCGACCGAACAAAAACACCGCCGATATCATTTGATAACGAATTACGACTGATGATGTGCCTGGCACAAATTATACTTGTCTTTCGCTATTCACCTCATATAAAAATGTGTATTGTAGCGTTATCTCTGTCGCTCGTATGCGATGCTGGTAAAATTTCTCTCTTTTTATTTGGGCCGGCCCGACATTGGCACAAGTTGATGACGTCAAGGTCAAGGCATGCTTTATATCTCGTCGCGTGGTTCGGGTGCTTGCGGTGTTGTCACGTTGTCAGTGTTGTCACTTCATATAATTTATACCAAAAAAAAAATGAAAAAGCAAAAAATAAAGTAAAACATTGAAGATTGAAAAAAATATTCTTTTTGAAGAAGACAAGGTAGTGCCATGGCACCGTGGCACTACCTCACGAGCCGCCACTGCTATAGACACTGGTGCATGCACTAGCTATTATAAATATTTGGAAATGTAATTAATATCACCCCAGTATACGAACACACAACCTATATGTGATGAGGGTAATATGGAATATCAATATTCCATATTACCCGATATTCCGTATTACCCGAAATCCAGAAATACTTACAGTGTCAATTTTTTACAGACTTATAATAGCACCTAAAAAGCTTTTTAAAGCTAAAAGACAAACTTGGAATGTCGATAGTATGCGCAATGCAATAGATGCTGTAAGAACAAAAAGGACAACATTCATCCGACGACAATTTCCGGTTGGCCAAGTTAGTTGGGAAAAAATCCAGAGCAAACGATCAAGCTTCTTCGGACGATGATATTCCCGTAGCCTATTTGGCTTCTAAAGAGCCTAACTCAGATGTGATTTTCTGTGAAGAATTATTTTCTAAAAGTAAAAGCCGAGAAATTTGGATTCAATGTGTCATGTGCGAATGCTGGGCACATGAAGCCTGTACAGGCAACGAGCATGAAACATACATATGCAACTTTTCTAACTAGTAGTTCTTTAAACGTTGCCAAATAAAAAATAAACAACTTTATAATTTTTGTTTTGTATCTATTACTTATGTCGTATCTGATATACCATATTACCAGATAAGGCTTTTCCATATTACTCGCCAGTTTTCTTGGCACCTAAAAATGACATATGACATTAAATATATTTTTGTCATTTTTCGACTACATGTTATTTGCTAAATATATTTTTTTTACAAGTGCATATTAAGAATGGGTATTCCATATTCACCGAACTTCCTCTACATTGTTGAATCTTTGTGCGCAAGTAGATGGCAATCTACCTATCGCCAACTGCCAATGGTTTTGCCAAGCTGATTTTCATCATTATCCCGTATGATGAAGACGCTTTTATATGACTATATACATATAATTGACACACTTGCGTACAATGTTTCGAGTTTTACAAAGACCGGGTCCACCTGTTTAATGAGCACGAAACAGCTCTGTCTGCGCTTGGACATGGTTACAAGAGACGAAAAGCAAACATGACCCTTTCAGCAGTGTTTATTATGCATATATCGCATTCCGAGCACTTGGAACCTCAGCTAGCACAAGCACGTGATAATGACATCGAGATTTGTTGATAACTCGTCAACTGAACTAATTGTTCCCAATAGCGACGTCGTAATGACGTCTACTAAATGTCCATTTGAATTTGTTTTCATGTGTACGATGTTCTTGATAATTCAGAATCAACCTTTCCGATTCAAAACGGATCAAGTCAGGAGACAGAAATAATGATTTCATTCCTTCCCTGATTGACGGTCACTAAAAATTTATCTGAAATGACAAATTATTAAGGTGCTGCGAAACGTTATCGCATTATGTTCCATTACTCTTTTTATAAACATTTTACAAATATTATAAATAATAGACGTCATAGTCACGTCCAGCAGGTGACGTATTATTGACGTCTTCCATATGACGTCATCGGTATGTGACATTAGGAGGTCATTTCCACGTTATTTTCATGTCATTGAATTCGTGATTTCTCGTCATTTCATGGCCAGTTTGTAACGTCATTTTCACGTGTTTGTGCAACCTGGCTACCAACTAGAGAGCGTAAAGGTTCCTCTATCGTCTTCATCGTACGGGATCATGACGAAAACCAGCTTAGCACAATCATTGGTAGGAGGCATTTATCAGATTTCCATCTAATTTCTCATCTATGCATGTCTATCATCCTAGACGATATCGTGAACCTTTTTGATGATTTGAGGTGTGGTTGCTGTTGTTGCTCGTCCTTAACGAGCGTCATTTCCGAGGGATGTGGACCACGTTTAAATTCAGTTGCTCATCAATTTTTAACAGTTTAAGTCGAAAAAGCGGAGACTCTGCAGCCTTTTGTTAGATTTGAAAGCATTTCCTTAGGGCTTAACCATCTAATACGAGGCATTTGATAACAGTACAAAATTCAAGTTTATCCATCTTATCGATAAAAAAGCAAAACGAGAACTATAAAAAAAAGCTTTAAGTAGGTTACGACTCTGCACTTCCCGCTCAATGGCAGAGAAATTAAGCGGAACAAGTCAGTCAAACAAGCCCACACAATTGGTCCATAGACATTCTTTCTCGACCTAGCGATAGTCCATCTGGTAAACTAACCTCGACCCCTAACGGTCCAACACGTCAGATGCGGCAGTACTGTAGTAAAGGCGAGAATACACATGCTTGTTACACGCACAGAAGCATGCCAGTTACTGGATTGTGCGTGCTACTTGCATGTGTGACTTTCTTTGCCAGCAAGAAAGCACGCTAGAAGATAGCACGCCAGTAGATCGCAAGACGTTTGATTTTTGTGTGCCAGTAGCAGGATTTCGTCGAGGGAATGGAGGGGAGGAAACATGCGAGTCATGTTCAAAGGTGTGTGAACGACATCGTTACCAGAAACTCGCATGTGAAAAACGGATTCTTGAACTATAGAACTATTTGTTTAGTTCCGGGCAAAATGGCTCGTTGGGGAGACGAAAAGACTTTATTGTTTGTTATGCAGTATAGGGAGTATCCGTGTTTATGGAATACATGATCTCCATTGTATAAAAATAAAATCGCTAGAGAAAATGCTAAGTCTTTATTGAAGCAAATGACTGATAACAATTTAACATTGAAATTTATGAAAAATAAGATAAACCTAAGAACAACCAACCACCAAGAGTTAAAGAAGATAAAGGAAAGTTTTCACAGACTGGCGTATCCAAAACTAGCATGTGTATTTTGGGATGTCGTAGGACAAGTAGTTAGCATACAAGTTACTGGCCACTGGCATGCTATTTTACTGGCATGTGTATTCTCGCCTTAAGGCCCAAACAGCAGAAGCAGAGAGGCGTATTGAAAGTATTTCTCATTCTAAGATGTGCGGAGAAATCTATGATTTGTGAACTATGTGTAATAGGTCCGTAGAGCTACTGAGGTTGGGAGCGTATACACATACTGGAAAATTTACCAAAAATGATCACGATCCTAAGAAACCTTAAAAAACGACGTTTGGGCGACTTTTACCGTTTTGGTTTTTACCCTTTTATCCGCCGCCACTGGACCCATTTTTAAAAAACTACAAATCTTTTTCGTCTTCTTGGTATAGTAGTAACCTTCTGGGGAAATTTCCTTAAAATCCGACCGGTAGCTTCCAAGTTATAGACTAGCCAGGAGTTAGCGGCCAGACGGCGTAACAGGCAATGGCGGATCCAGGATATGTGTCTGAGGGGGGGGGGGGGGTGTCAAAAAGATATTAATTCTAATTTAAAAATGAACAATTTATTGTTAAAAACAAAATCAGTTCTGCGAATCGATTAATATTAATACTTACTATGTCCTTTGAATCGAGTGCAACAACTTTTTTGTGGTCTTGTCCGTCACAGTGGGGGATTTAAGTAATGGCAAAATGGACATTGCCGCCTGCCCCCCCACCCCGAAAAAATCAGTTCTAGTGCCTATATTGTTCAGCGCGTCTAAATGTAAAATTAATAACAAGAAATCAGAGTTTTATTATATTTCTTTAATGACCATCTGCGTAATGTTTGTGAAACAGCGCGTCAGCATTCAGTTTGTATAAGAAAAATTTTCTTAAGAAATTTTTTGAAAAATGACTATTTCATTTCTGAAAAAATTACCGATTGACCTTTTATTTCTCAAGGAGTGGAGGGGTTATTTTTACATTTTGTGCTTACAGTGATATGACCTGGCATAAAATGTTCAGTAAATAAATATCCTCGTGGTATGAATCAGCCACTTTCAGTCTAATAAAGACTCTAATTCGTCTATTATGGTCTTTTCACGTCTTCAATGCTTATAACCATGACCTTTCCCAATACTGTGCATTTTTTTATTTGATGAAATATCTACTTTATTCATGATAATATCGTGGAAGAAATTTATTGAATATATTATCAATTGCATAGAAGATGAAATTTCAAGAGTGGGAGCTTCTTTCGAAGATATAATGAATGCAAGATCTCTTCTTTCTTCATGAACTGGACCTTTTTCCTCAATTTGTTATGGTGGCATTCAGTATTAAGCGTAATGAATACTGTGCAAGTTCAAATGCAAAAGAAAGAAATAGACTGAAGGCTAAGAATAAATGGGAAGAGATGGAATGGGAAAATTCTGGTTTTCCCATTGTCAGAGCCAGGAAAACCAAAAAAATGTTCGACGAAGAAGCTGCTGACTCGCCACTGGAAAAACACGAAAAACATCGAATAAATTATTACGAAGTTTTGGATTCAATGAGTAACGAATTGCAAGAACGTGCTGAAGGATTTCGTGAAGTGAAAGATGTGTTTGGTTTTGTGATGGCAGAGAAATTAGTCAATCTAAAAGAAAACGAATCAGAAACCAGCGTCACTAATTTGATAGAAAAATATTCGGAATTTTTCACTACAGATCTAAAATATGAATTAGCCAGTTTTACGAGCATGTATTTTTCAGAAAATCGTAATTTTGCTAATGACAGCCCGCTAGATTATTTGAAGTTCAAGATTGCAAACAATTTTATAGACAGTTATCCAGAGAGCTGCACTTTATTCAGATTGTCTTTGACTTTGTCTATCGGTTCAGCTGGTGCTGAGCGTGTCATGAGCTCTTTGAAAATTATTAAAGAATACCGTCGAGCACACTCAATTTGGATTCTGCGATGGACATTTTTGCTGAACTAAAAGCAAGACGCGGATTCAAATTAGAATAATTCTGTTCTGAGGTAGCGGTGCGCAGCACATACTATTGTGCATACAATTGTCAGCCCCTGTTAATATGTGACATCCTAATTGCCAGCAAAATCTGTAGTTCGAACTTTATCTGAACAATTTAGATAGATTATACGTTACCGAAACATTTTAGATCCGTGTGAATATTGAAACAGTCCAACTAGCTGTTTTATTGGCACGTTGAAGCAGCATCAGATTAACTTTTTGCATCAAATTAAAAAACCTTTTGCAGTATCCATGAGCTTATTTCGGTTATTTGTGCAGGTCTTCCTAATTTTTTTATTCTCAGTTGTCGACATTGATTTGCAAATAGCGATAAATGTGGAGAATATCACTTTCGCAACTAGTGCCTAGTATATATCCTGTAGTAATGCACGTTATTTAACGTATTTTAGTGTTGTTCATCAAGTTTGTATTCAATGAAATATTAATCACCTCAAACATGACAACTATCGATCATATTTGTTTTTTTTCTTATAATTTTATGCAAATTCTATAAATAGCGTGCACTCCAAATTTGACTCGACGCCCTTTACTTATTGGTAGCATCCGTGATAACTTTTAAACTCTGAGAAGTTTGCTGGTGAATCATCAAGTTTAATTTACTTCAAAAAATTACGATGCCGCTACAACCTGTCCCGTGCCCGTGCGCACTATTAAATGCAAAAACAAGGGTGATGTACGATTGCACTAACATGACATTACGCATTAAATTTTGAGATTAATTTCTGAGTTATCATGCAACTTTCAAAGTTTCCGTTTTTTAGCTTAAGCGCGCGCGAAGAAGTTTTTCCTACATCAAGCTGACCGCATAGGCAACCAGTCTTGCGCTATCATCTATGAGCTTACAGTTAAATCAAAGTTGACGGATGCGGTGCTGTCAGTGTTTAGTAGAAAATACCAGTACGACATCCATTCAATATGTGTGC